TATTATATGTATTATTAACTACAAAACAAATTGAGTACCTTTGGTAGAATCGAGTAGACCTCTCCTCACATTTCTTACGCGTTCAAGGGAGAAAATAAGCAAATTGTAATATTTAATTATTTAAAATAAATTCAAACTCAAATTTTTCAACTTCGCTATCAATTTAATGAAAACCCATTTAATTTATGTGTCGATGTAATGACGAGGCATTGGAGTTGAAAATCAATAACAAAAACATAACCCTCCTTTTGGTTTGTTATAGTCTGGTAAAAATAATATCTTGGTGGGGATTTTTTTTCCACAAATCCCCACCGCGTAGCAAGTGCTACGTTAGTGGGGATTTGTGGAATAAAATGTAACGATCCCCACCAGTGGGGATTTCTTAGTGGGGATTTACGGAATAAACCGATTTTAGCGCCTTACAAGTGCGGACACTTTTTAGCGCGGACCCGACGTCCATATAATTGTAAGTCAATGATTCTAACCATTTATCTCGCGTATCATATTCTTCAAATCGTGTTGTATATTTGTTGCATTTAAAGAGAACGTTTTATGAATACACGTGCTGAATTGTCTCTTGCAATAAATCAAATCTATACTTACATAATACAATAAAACATGTGAACGGAAATAACGATAGAAAAGTAAAGAAATGTGATCCCTGTGTACCAAAATGTGAAATAAGTGTGACTATACACCAATTGTGCCGTACTGACATCGGTATCAGTGAAGCCCAAAGTGTTTTTAGTTTTATATAGTACAGTCAAGGTCACTTCAAGCTTGATACTTTGGATTTACCTTATCCTAAACCGCATTGATGTGCTCTGGATTCTATACGTACACTACTGAAGAGTCAGATAGTCCATATCATTGTAAGTCATTAGAACCGCCTATAGACCTCTGGACCCTGTACGTAAACCACCCAAGAGACAAATGGTCCATATCATTTAAGTAATTACCACCGCCTATAGAGTAAGAAGGCATTTATGATATCGCAAATGTGTTGATTGTTGTGGCTCTCAGGTACAAATGGGGCGATTGAACATGTAAATATTTAACCAAATTTGGTTTGGTTCACATTACCTCACAAGCATTATCTTTCGAACAACTCAACCAACCAAAAACGCGTATTTAAGAAATTTAGGCTGCTACCAGACTGACTGCATATGCGAGGTCGATATATACGAATATATAACTGTCATGTAGGCGGAACTGAATGTATGCAGTCGATACTGACTGTTCAGGAGCTTAGTATATTTATTGAAGACAAAATGGAAGTTTGTCACTGTAAAAAAGCAATAAAAATGTTGAGAAGAAATGCTATCCCAAGCATAATGTGTGTTTTCTGACTGATTGCTATTGTGGGCGTATGTTATTATACTACTGTGGTCCTTGGCAATACAAACAATAGTGATCCTAATACAATACAAGTTGATTATGAGTACGGATTCTACATAATAACTGGAGCAGGAGCTTTAGCCTTACTGGCATCTGCAGCTAATCTCTGGGGTGCTCCATTATCCAATGATGAAGATCTGCAAAGGCGAAACCTCATGGAAAATTGGGACGGACTAGAAGCTCATAGTGTTGGGCCTACTCCTGCAATACCCACTCTACCTCCTTACACACCTAACGCCGATTACATAATCGGCGTTAGGTTACATTACCAGGTACATACCTGGCATACACCAAAGTTACGCTCCCCCAGTACTTGGTACTCAGCAATGCTTTCCTTTCGATGATCTCTCTGTACTCCACCTTACACTCTATTATAATACCAACACTTTTATCTCCTATTAGGATCTATGTATATTTCCTAATCTTATTATTTTTTAGAGAAAGTAAGGCTTGTGAATATGATACTATTATAATTGGTAACATAATATTGTGTTGAAATTTGAGATTAATCTAGAATTTTTCAAAGCATGTAGCGAGGTGAAAGATACTCTAACTCGAATATGAAGAAAGTAGCTTTGACTTCAAAATTAATCAATTAACAGTCTCAATCAATAATAGCTAACATTCAGTATATGATGTAGAAAAGTATTATCTAAAACTTTAGTTTTATAAGGTCATTGTTTATTTTTAACCAACGTTTGAGTAATTTAGGATCAGGAGTAGCAGTTAAGTAACTATTAGAGGAGTCATAATATCAAAATAATAATCTGTTGGTACTACTTAAATTTAAAATAATATTTTATTGACTCTAACACATAGGTACACAAGGATGTAGGTCATGGTTTTCTAAATTGACAATAAGATTAATTGTAAGTAATTGTAAACAATTTTCCCTTCCAATTTTCGCATACATAATACTGATCTTTAATAATAATGAACACTTCTTGACTGTCAAATAAAGGTATCTCTAGTGTTACTACTGCAGATTAGGGTGAGAGGACGACTACGGCTGAAGCACTGGATTTTGTATAAATAAAAGTACAAACAGAAAATAAATTCTTGAAGGTAACACTTAACAAAAACCGTGATTTTATGCCTTGAATATTTTTTTAATTCTTTCGCCCTATACCTATTACTGGCTCCGAAAATTAAATTATGTATATGTATTGCAGCTGCTATAATTGTGTGGCGATATAATAATTTAAAAAATTGATTTTTTTGTTATACATAATATATTATTGCGGTTGTGAAGGAAGTTGCTAAGTTGACTTTGCTATTCACTTCAACATGTGATTTGCCATTTTTGTGCCTACTCGTCTCGTATTTCGCAAAATGCTTCAAAAATTGTTTACGTATGTAATGTATGTTTAACTTAACGACTATGCATCTAAACTCAGATTCAAATTATGTCAATGGATTATAGTTACGTAAATCAATAATGTATTTAATAATAACGATGTGATCGATGATGCATTTGGTTTCAAAATGCATTTGGCTGCAAAAATGCCGAAATTAGTTTATGTTCGTTGTTTTAAACCCGTATCAAATTATTATATTATATATATATTATATTAAATAAGGGTTGTGAAAATGTCGCTTGAGATACAACTTGTACAGTTTCTGCCCTTGTTGTTCCATTTCGATAAATATTTTTTTCTTTATTATACCAAATGATGGGACGAACAAGTCGTGTGCCTGACGGTAAGCAATACGCCTATCCATAACAGTACTAAGCAGCACTGCCACTCAGAGCTTTAAATTGCAAAGATCTGAGGGGCACTGCCACTGGCGCCCCAGACACCCTGAGACATAAAATGTGCCTGTATTTTCACCAAAATCTGTAATTTTTAAATGAGAATAATGAACAATAATACTTAATTATGACTTTTGTCAAGCCCAATAATGATATTGTTGTACACCCTAAATAGCAATAAAACACTAATAATCCACGTTCATTAAGGTCATTAAAGGAACAAAACAATAACATCTGTTGCGAATTGGTAAAAACTGTAACATCAAAAATAAACACCAGTTCGATATTTTTGCTTCCAAGTGTAGATAAACTTATAAATAATCCATTCTTTCATGTTCATCAATTTCTATGATTGATATAGGTAAGGGTTGTTAGTTTCCAAATATTTATTTTTCTTTTCAAATACTTATGAGGTAATGTGATTGTGAAATATTTAACGTATTTTATCGGAATTTAAGTTGACCCAAGATAAAAATGTGTTGTTCAATTTTTCCACCTGACAATATGCCTCATCACGGTGTCTTTAATAAACGTACTTTTTATATGAGCCGTACTGAAGTGTTCTGACTAAACTCTGTTTATAAAATACAATTACTGTGGACAGTGGCGGATTTGCCCTAAGGCCTAATAGGCCTAGGCGTAGGGCGGCCAGATTAGAGGGGCGGCCAATCGTGACAAAAAATTCACTGTTGGTAACAAGAAATAACTCCAAGTACCTAAATATTCTTAAGGCACACGTTATTGCTGGCCGCAATGCATCGCATCGTTAATCTTCGTAAATCACTTTCGTACATTTTATGTATAAAATATAGATATGTTACATATCTATAATGTAATGTATAATGTCTACGTCTGTCTGTCTGATCGCGATAAACTCAAAAACTACATACTGAACGGATGCTGGTACTGACTACATTGCCTGGGGCCTAGGGCAGCTAAGACTGCAAATCCGCCACTTAAGTATGCTGACTAGTTTTGTCCAACCCTTACTGAGTTTTTTGTACATTGCAATTTATAGTAGTAATAATAATAATATATCCACCGAAAACTTTTAATGCTTGATAACAAGGTAATTTTTTGGTTTTTGAATTAAGGAAATTTAATAACATAGTTGTTTAACGATTATAAAAAAATATTTCTTAAAATATATTGTTCGAAGAAAGAGCTTATATAGATTTTAGTAACTTCATAATATTAATAGTTAAAGATCTGAATTCCCACTAAAAATATATATTAAATAATAGAAAATACATAATCAAATAGAATAAATAGAGCATGCTTTATGATGTTCCATGTTACCAAAAATATAAGGAGAGTAATGTTACCAAAATATATGATTCCAACTGTTGACTTTACTATTAATAAGGAAACAAACAAATTTCTATGGAAATCCTCAACTTCAATTCGTCAACAAAACCACGTCTGTAATTCCCGACTATACTTTGTGACGGACTTTGCGATCAAAAATGTAGACGACGGCGCCGGTGGTATTACAAATAGAAATATGTTAAGAATTGTCGAAATGTGAAATAAGTCCGTTGAGAGAAATTTCACAAATCGTGTTTTTGTTTTACCGTTAAGTCGGTTAAACCTTCAAGAAATTGTTACCTCTTGCCGTTGCTGAAAAAAATCAAGTTAAAAAATCATATTATATCCGCTTAAGGATGTCATTGCTATTTTTGCTGACTATCATTTACATCGACTGCAGTCGACGCTTGCAGTTGAAATGTCGACTGCACGCAGCTGATCACGACTGCACGCATTAACTGCAGACATGCAGTCCATCTGCTAACAGTCTTTTATCAACCGAACTTAAAAAAAGACGATTTAAAAGGAAAAATATTCTCACCTTCTCATTGATGATGCAGTCAAGATCCTCCTGGCTGGGCGAGCCGAGAACACCCAGGATATGGTTGAGCTGGTCCAAGTAATGCTTGCCTGGGAATATCGGCCGGTTCGACAGCATCTCCGCTAGGATGCACCCCACTGACCAGATGTCTATTGATTTGGTGTAGCCCTGGACAACAATCATTATCTTCTATTAGGTAAAAGCAATAGTGACAACTTTCTTGTTCTATCTTTAATGTTCTTTAACTTAATTTGGCACGAAAAGAAACAGGATACATTGTACAGATAATGAAGGTTTATGAACTGCCTGTGTTCATCTCACACCCCCACAAAAAGGCCACACATATCACATTTCTTTCAGATGGGCACTAAGTGGGTCCACTGAAAGGTGTCCGACCCTACTCGACGTTATAAGGTTGGAAAAAACAAAGACCACTTATGTACCATGTCGCCTGCTTGATTTCTCGTTTGTATTAACATGTTTTGAGGTTATATTTGTTTATATCGATTTCTTAGGTTTTCGCGATAGCTATACATTGGAAATGAAACTATTAATAACATAACCGACTTCAACAAAAGGACAAGGTTCTCAATTCTATTGCCTTTTTTTGTATGTTACGCGATAATTTGTGAACTGATTTTAATGTTTTTTTTTTGTTGGAAATAGGACACCTCAGAAGCGGTCCCATTTAATTTGTAGAAAATATTCCATATTTCATCTAATAAGGGTGGCAAACTAGGGGTTGAATGACTTTTGGGGTCGGCTTTTTTAGTACTCTGTACTCGGATTATTTCAAATTTAAATCGTGTATTATATTTGTTTTGTCAAACACACGCGACCTTAGTGGCCTTGAGGTAAGCGCTAAGGGCGTTTGGCGTGAAGACTCCGGATTAAAGTTCCGGTAAGACTAATTTAGAAAAGATATTTTTCTACATTAGTTCTGGTCTGGGTCTTTCTGAATAATGCCCCCTTAGTGAATTACTCTGGTAGTTATTGTACAGGAAAATTCTCTGTTTGAAAGAAAGATTTGTGGTCCGGTTGCAAAGCTGTTAGGGCAATTTAAGTAATCAGGAGGCATTATACCGTTTGAGTAGCGTCCTAATTGATATTTTCATCACACTTGCTCGTAAATAGTATGATTGCATGGTGGCTAACTTGACTACAAAGCTCCAAATAAAACCATCGGGTCTTTTTTCTTCCCATTACAGTCATTGTCAGTAAGAGGTTTTCTTTTTATAAGTAGCACGACATACTTCCTTACGTGGGTCAG